TATCCTTCACTCTCTCCGTGTTCACATCAGCAGCTCCTAATCTTGCCATTGGGTAAGTCAGCCTTTGACATGAGGGCTTCCTAAATAAAATTCAAAAGTAAAGTATTTTAATACATACATGGAAAGGTGCTTTGTTAGTTATAAAAATGGTATCCTGCAGCCAACATCATGGCTTAAACGACAAGCAAGAATGATCATCTATATAAGCTATCCCAAATGTTAACTACTTTTGATGTAATGAGAAGTTGCTGAGAGGTGGGTGATAGCTCAGATAACTGGTCAGAATACAAAGAACAGCAGGATCTGACTAACGATTTAATCAACACTAATGAATAAGAGCTAGAGGTGAAGTTAGAAGCGTATTGGCATGAATAGAAGATTGGCTGGCTAACGGGAAGCAGACAGTATGAATATATGGTCTTTTTCAGGCTGGCAGGATGTCACAAGTAGTGTCCGATATAGAGGTTAGTGCTGGGGCCTCAACTCTTTACAATTTATATAAATGATTGGGATGAAGGGACCAAAAGTATGGCAGTTAAATTTGCTGATGATAAGAAGATAGATAGGAAAGTAAGTTATGAAGAAGGCATAAGGACCCTACAAAGGGATATGGATAGGCTAAGCAACAGGACAAAGATCTGGCAAATAAAGTACAACGTAGAAAAGTCAGAAATTGTTCATTTTGGGAGAAAGAATAAGAAAGAAACCTGATCAAAATTATAAGAGGTTTCAGAGCTCTGAGATACAGAGAAAACTGTGTCCTAGAGCTTGAATCATAGGTCAATATACAGAAACAGCAAGTAATCAGGAAAGCTGATGGGATGTTATGTTTTATTGTGAGGGAAACTGAGTGCAACAGTAAGGAGGTTATGCTTCAGTTACACAGGATATTGATGAGTTGGTATCCAAAGTAATGTGTACAGTGCTGATGATAACGCAAAGGAAGCTGTTTGGAGGTTTACTAAACTAATATCTGGAATGAGTGCCTTATGAGAAAGACTAGACGGTTAAGCTGTATCCCTTACAGTTCAGATGTGTCAGAAGTAACATAATTAAAACATAAAAGAGCCTGAGTGGACTTGACTGGGTGGATGTGGATTGTGGGGGAGGGAATTCCAGGATTTTGACTCAATTTTGATTTTATGAGGTCCTTGCTACCTTTCAGCATTGCAGAGCAACTTTGCTACCCGACTAACATTACCCCTTCACTCCCATTGCTAGTACTGCCTGTGCCCTTTGAAATTGCGAGTAAAATGTTTATAGTGTATTAATAGCCAAGTAAAAATGGTTGTCTGCAAAAAAAAGCCGAACTACAAATCTCTTGAAATATAATGGCGAAGACAAATGAAAACAACTTTAAGAGCTCAATGAAGGGAATTCTGGGCAAACTGTACTCATTTCTCTAAATTGCAAAGCAAACAGACTGCTGTTGGAATCAAAAGCTGAAATTATTGGAGAAACTCAGCAGGTCTGGCAGCATCTGTGGAGAGAGAAACAGAGTTAATGTTTCGAGTCCCGCAATCCTTAAGTTTCTCTTGCAATTTTTGTTTCAGATTTCCACCATTTTGTGGTTCTTTGTTTTATTTTACTATTGGGATATCTGGTCTGATCAGCAAAGAGCAGGAAAGGATCAAAAACTTATGTATTTTCACCATAGAACTGGTGCATTATGACAGGCATCAGCCAACCACCTTCCAGCAATATTGAGTACAACACCCTTCTGACAGAAATCAGCGCAGTTACTGTTCTTCAGATGGACCAAGTATAATGCCCTTCAGTACAACTTGTCAACCCTCAATGTAACCCAGGTGTTAATCTTCAGCGGAACAGTCAGCTGAAGCCCCAGTGAATGCCACTGCCCAACTTGTGAAGCCAACCCACCCATTTGTATAATCAAAGCTGTTAATACAAAACTAAACTATAGCCTATTCTGGAAATCTGAAATAAAAACAGAAATATTGGAGTTTTTCACCAAATCAGGGAGCATTTGTGGAGAGAGAAACAGGTGTTTCAAAGTCACTCAACCTGAATCATTAACTCTGTTTCTCTCTCCACAGATACTGCCTGAAGTTGTGGAAAACCTGTCAGTAACTTCACCTCTGTGTGTGACTCAATCACATGCATCTGAAGTTAATACTTAGGGTCTTATTTTCACTAATGAAAAGCATGGAACTGAAACAAAAACGTACACTCAGAGATTTGTTTTGGAGATAATACCACTGCGCCTACATCCATGTAAAAGTGTCCATCAAATAACCCATTAAATTATTAATAACAAAAGCTTCAGCAATTCATATATTTTAATCTTACTCAAATAAGTATACAGGCTTTGACAAAAGAAACCACAGAAAAAAAACTTATTATAAGCACATAAAAATGTCAACTATCTACTCCACCTGTCAAAACAGAATCACACCTGAGCTTTTACTTTTATTAGGTTCTTAATCCCCCATAATAATTTCTGAATGGGTGTTTATTTCCCCTCTCGGCAGTTTCACACGCCATTGTTATTATGTGACTCACTGTTTACATACATCATGTACACTAGGTGAACGGGAATGGAAGTAATGTAATTTAACATTGACTTGTTATGGAAAGCATTAGGGATTATGCAGAGTGGTTGGGGGCTTTTGACCTTTTCTTTCAGAATTTTTCCCGACTTGAATCATGAGTCAGGGAGAAGCTTGTCTGACTGCGTAAAAAAGGCAAGAGGCTGGGAGATGCCTGTCCCCACAATGGATCTGGCCAGTTCAGAAGTTGAGGGTACAGGCATTACCACTGCCAAAAATTGAGGCTGCCGGGAATGAGGACAGGAATTCCAGAATCGGATTCTTATCAATTTTAGATTTCTCTTGGGTGAGAAACTGGTCCTTCTACTCCATTTATGGATATTCTCTCAATTTGAGAATGAATAATTTTTTAGTGGTAAGTTCATTGATAAATCAGTCCTAATATGAAAAGGAAGAAGTCATGTCCAAGTGTTAATTTAGGTACATTCTAATGAGAGTAATCAATGATTTACATGAAGAAAATAAACAGCTGACAAGTCAGCCTTGACTATATTGATTTCAATGTGTGGGATTTCATTGAAAGTTTAATTGGCAATTCCCTTGAGGACTTTTATGGGTAGTGGAACAGAAAGCTGTTAATGGTATTGAGTTTGCAAATCCCATCAAGGTTGAACTGCAAAGCGTTAGAAGGGAATTGAATGAGGGTTGCAAATATTTACAAGAAGAAAGTACACATGCTGAATAGTAAATCAGAAAATATATTATTTCACTTGCAGTGAATTTTCCTTCCATTTTGCAGAATGTGTCAAGAAAATCACTGTTGTTAGTTTTATACTAGTTAAGTAACTCATTTGTCTGCTAAAATAATGCGTAACTAATGTAATTACAACTACTCCATTATTGGCAACACTGCTGAAAGTAGTCATTAGTCATGAGCCTGATAAGGGACAAAAAAAAACTTTGCGTTTTAATTGTAAATGAATTTTGGATATAGATAATGAACTCTTTGAAAAAGGAAAAATAAAGTTCTATAGTGTTAGAATTTGATTTTCCAGTGTGAATTGACTGTGTAGAATGATATAAGGAGGTCTATAACCTGCTTTGTCTATGATATTACTTGATAAAAGTTGTACTGTTTGTTCCATCTCTTTGTTTTATTCCTGTCCCTATCCATTTTTCCGTTCTCAATATCTATCAATTTCCTCCCAAGTTGTTACTATGCCTTCTGCTTCCACATGCAGCCTCCTTTCTCATTGAGGATCTCTGCCTTAACTCTGTATTTAAATAATTCTCATAATTAAGATCTTAATATATTCCAGATATTTTCTAACCAACCTGTTCAAGAATGTTATTTTGAGCAGGAGGGACTTGAACCCATGCCTTCTGGTCTAGAGGTAGGGACACTACCACTGTGCCACAAGAGTCCAGAGATATGAAAGTTCTGAATAGTATTTCATTTATAGAGTTGTTTGTTTTTTTAATTCAACCTATTCTGCAATGTTATAACACACTTCTAGTACAGATAGGACTTGAACCTAGGTCTCCTGGTCCAGCGGTAGTGACAACACCACTGCACTAGATGAGACCTTCCAAGAGTTCCAAAATGCCCTGACATTATATTTTCCTAATCAACCTGCTAAGAGATGATATTACATGACTTTTGCACAGGTGGGACTTGTACCCAGGTCTCATGGTCCAGAGTTAGAGCCAGTACCATTGTGCCACACAAGAGCCCTCATAGGTATTCTATAATCAACCAGTTAAGGGATTTTAGTACATGTCTCTGGAGTAGTGAGATTTGAAGCTAGGCCTCCTGGATCAGAGGTAGGAACACTACCACTGTGTCACAAAAGCCCAAAGGAGCCTGATAGAAATTTTTAGCTAACCTAGTCAGATGTGTTATGACACAAATCTGAAACAGGTGGGACTTGAACCCAGGCCTCCTGGCTATAAGGTACGGATATTACCATTGCACCACAGGAGCACTTAGAGCGCTAATAACTGGAAACATTTTTTCTCAATTTACCTTTTTTTATATACTAATCGACCTCATCTATTTTTTTTTCCTTTTTTTTATTCTCCAGCCAATAATTTTAGCGAACAGTAAATGTAAAAAAAACGGTTTTCTTTCTTGAATCCAAGTAGGTTTTCTTTGCTAAAGTCTTACAATTAGAAGATTGTAATGTTTTGGGACTGTGGTTTTAACTTAAAGTGAAGAGGGTCATGAGACCTGTTCTGATGTTTCCCTGGCAGCAAGCCTGAGTTGGTTGATTGTTAGCAATGAAGGAGGAAGGCTAATTGATTTACTGGGAAAGAGATGCAAGATGTTTATGTTTGGAGAAAATCCAGCCTACTTTATCAAACCTCCTCAAAATTTTAAACACCTGAATAAGATCTCTTATTAGTCAGCTCTGCTCCATTGAAGATATTTAAAATTCTGCCTTCATTCTTCAGTGCAATCAACTGTGTTGGTTTGTTCTTTATTATTAGGCCTACAATGAGAATATGTATGGAATTAAATACCAGTGGATTATCCCAGGGTGGTACCAGCTAAACTGGTGGAAACCAATTGCTTCCAGTTATTGCAATGAAAAAAATCTACTCACTGCCATGGAAGGATATGTTGCTGTGGATTTTGAACCACTTAGTACAAAAGAAATCAGGACAATATCTGGGCTGGTGAGTATGGATTTTTTAAAATATTTATAATTGTTGTACAAATGTGTGAATGAATAAGAAGTAAAGCACAAGTACCAAGAATACTAATTTCATGAACAAGAACCTGTCCTCACATACATTTCCTTCTGTAAACACTGGCTATATTACTCTGGGGATGAGGAGGGGGAAGCATTGAACGAGGCAATGACAAAAATGTGGGGGAAATAGATGAACAGACAGAATAACTAGAGTTATAGTTCACTATCTTTCCTTCAAAACCAAAGCAATTGAGTACTAATACTGTTTTCTAAACTTCTCATAATCTCCTTCAGACACCTCAACAATACAAGCAAGAGTACAATAAAATGAGGGGTAGTGCTGAGTATAGCAAATTCCACGGATTTGCGTATGATGGAATCTGGGTCATTGCTACAACATTGCAACGAGCAATGGATAGTTTGAAACGTCTTGGCAATCCACAAACTATCCGCGACTTCAATTATATGAACAAAGAACTTGGTCAGATCTTCCTTGATTCCATGAATGAAACCAACTTCTTTGGGGTGACTGTGAGTATTGTCATCTTTGATTGTTTTCCTTTGAACTATTCATGTATATTTAATCCTATAATATTTGAATGTAGAATTTTGATAGTTTGAAAGACATTTTTCTCAATAAGGAACAGGAATAAACAAATTTCAATCTGTCCTGAAAGGTCTAAGTCCAATTATATCCCACTGCAACATAAAACAGGGAAGATAAGAACAAAGTATGTTTTCTTTCACTGCCTTATCAAATGGAAACCATGATTATGAACAATTCATGGACAATGTTGCTTCTTCAATGTATCACAGCCTGAAAGACAGGTCTCTAAATAATAGCTATGCAAAATATTGTAGGGCCCTCATACTTAAATGAATTGGCCATGAACTACCAAAAAATAAAATTGAGGTATGTACTAAAGACAAATATCATACTTGTTTGGTGAATTGCAAATGCATTTAATGGGGTTAGACAAAATATGTGTGTGAGCAGAAAAGAACCATTTAATATGGCAAACTTCAAGTATACTGGTCGAAGTAACCTCAAACTTAATAGCCTTATGTGACAACACTTACTGTCAAAAACATGAAAGGTTGGCATGAATTACCACTGCAGACTTTGGAGAGATTTGGTGCTGATCAAAAACTTTGTTTTATTAGTGCCTCTGCATGCTCTTATTAATTTTTAGATCGAGAATTTAGAAATGGTTGACTCAAATGGTTGAAATGGAGGAAAGATTGGGATAGACGTCATCTTCTTTGGACGTCTTTACTACAACACATGCTGAAGCATTTACTGATCTTGTTGTAAATAAATAACAAACCTTCAGTCACGTGCTGCTTCCTAACTATGTTGAAAGACTTCACGGTGTTGATCCCTACAACCTTTTGTCTGATATGTTGTTAAGTTGTTAAGTATTTGTGGGTGGCATGGTGGCTCAGTGGTTAGCACTGCTGCCTCACAGCACCAGCAAACCGGGTTCGATCCCACTATCGGGTGACTTTCTGTGTGGAGTTTTACATTCTCCCTGTGTCTGTGTGGGTTTCCTCCAGGTGCTTCAGTTTCCTGCCACAGTCCAAAGATGTGCAGATTAGGAGGATTGGCCACGCTAAATTGCCCATAGTGTCCAGGGATGTGTAGATTATGTGGGTTAGAGGAGGATGGGTGTGTGTGGGATGCTCTGAGGTTTGGTGTGGACTTGTTGGGCTGAATGGCCTGTTTCCATGCTGTAGAGATTCTATGATCTATGATTCACTAGACTTTAGAAATATGGTAGTATCAAGCAAATTTGATTCAATTCAATTCATGATTGCTTAAATGGAAGGGTATTCTACTGAATTTTACTATTATGGGAGATATATGCACGATGAGAAGTGTCTATCATTTACCAATTGTTGCATTTCGTCAATGTTTTAAAACTGTTGCTAACTGATGGTTATTTCCAGACAGTTAATTAATTAAGTACGTTCAACAAAAGTTACTCTCCTCCTGATTCCTTCATGAAAGCACAGGTTAGAAAATTGAACACAGAATTTAACACACCTTTCTGGTGCTAGAAACAATTCAAATGGGCCCTAGTGAGCTCTGAGATTGATTATTTAATTTTCTTTAATCAAGCCCAGTTCCACACTGGGAGACTTACACTGCTGGAAAGCTGTCCTGCTTCCACTCTAGCCATCAACGAAAATTGCCAAGCAGACCTTAATGGGATGAGTATTGGTCCTGATTGACATATTTAGAGCAGGGGACACATTCTTCGTGTGCGTTGTTTGTGTTTTTAAAAGAAGTCCACAATAGGAATAAAACACAGAATTGCAGGGCTTAAGTGACTAGTTTTATTTTAAATGTTCCCTCTCACTAGCCTGTCTTCAGTTTTCACTGTGTTATCCATTTAGTTACCCTAATTTAATCATTCTTCAAAGCCAAAATGCAATACAGTAACCAACATTGTACATAATAATACCGGAAGAACCAACATGTGATTTATAAAAGCTCAGGGTTGCTTCTTGGGATATATTGAATCACTCTGCTTATACCACCAGAGATCTTATTTGCTTTCCTTCCTTCTGCCATACATTGGATTCCTAACTTTGGGTTATCCCTGTAGATCACTCTTTTGCACAGTGTCCTGTAGTCAATGATTGTTCCTTGTATATTCCGATTGATCTCTTGGTTCCCAGCTGCAACATCTTGCATTTATCTAATTTCCAGTCTGTCCAAATTCAGCTTCTGACAACTTCAAGGTGATGAATCCAATTTTAACTTACTCAGAGCCTGTGTCAGGGAGTTAAAATCAGGCCTGATACCTCCATAGTTTGTTTGCACATTCAAAGACCCTTTCCACTCAATCGTTGAATCATAGGGGACTTTAGACAATTAAAATCAACATTTTTATTTTCAATATCATCAAAAGCATGTCTGCTTGAACATTAGAAACAGAACCTGGGACACTGGGAATGTTCAATCACTTGGGATACTTGGCCTCATCTGGCTCTAGTTCAGATGCATTGTGGTTTGATCAAAGACAATCATGTTTGCAAATCTCTTTTGGATACTGTAAATTGTAGGTATAAGTCAGCCTGGCAAATAGGGAAACTTCATTTTTTCCAGCCCTAGAACTCATGTTTTTGCATATAGGTCAGCCTCCTTTTTTAGCCGTGACACACCAAGTGTACATTGTTAGTTACTTTCAATTATTCATCCAAAATTTGCACATTTTATGAACCATATATAGTTAACTAAGTTCAAGGAATCAAACAGATAATATGGACTATATTGTAAAGATGTGCCTGGGTTTAAGGTACATGTACTATTTGCATTTTAGGCTGAAGACGTTTGAAAATGATGACCATACACAAACTGATAGTTCACTATTATACCTGGCATATAAGTCAACCTGTTTTTGGAAGAATTTTTCAAGTTTTCACAGATTGACATATACATTGACTGGCATCTATGCAAATTATGTCCTCATGTTACAAATATTGATTTTTTTGATTTTGTTTGCCACGTCCTTAACATGACAAATTGTGACCAACAGATTTAGCAGGAAGGTAACAGGCTGATATTTTCATTTCCAACATCTTTTCAGGGCGGTGGCACAGTGCTAAAAATAGAGATTGATGCAGTGAGGTACAGGTCCACCAAATTCGACACAACCACCAGCAAACTTAGTTTCAATTATTACAGAAACATCTGTACATTTAGAGGAACAAATCCTCAACTAAAATCTGTAAAGCAATATATGCATTACTGATAAAACATAACTAGTGTTCATTAGCATTATCTCTCGTTGAAGTGCTGTGATGACTGAGAAGGAATAAGTGAGTTTGCTGCAGTTATGAAAGTATGTCAATTGAACGATCTAGAGCATTCTTTATTTCATTTTGGAAAATAATTCTTCCTAAAATCTTGTGCTGCAGTTTTATTGAATAGACATTGCTAAACAGCTTAACTATGATCTAGCACAGCCACTCCCAATTTCTGCGGCCTTTTATACAAATAACCTATGCATTTGTAAACAGACATCAGCATTGCTGTACAAGACCAAGGAACATCCCCTCTACAGACAAAATGGCAGACCATTTGCCTTAAACTCAGCAAAAGAAGAGGTTATCGCTTTGCTCCAGGGATTTACATTCGCTAGATAAATTTTTAAGGAATTGTTTCAGTGTTCCAAATACAGAGGTTGTCCTGAGTCAATCCTAAAATCAAATTCGATCATTAAATTAGTTCATTTTGTTGTGATATTTCTTGATTCAGACCCGTTTTAAAATCAAGTATGTTTTGATATTGAGACACAGCTATAAGAGGGTTCGCAGATTTTTATTTTCTCATTGAGAGGCTATCTTTTAGGCTGGTGAGTAAGTAGCCTGTCTGTGTGATGAGAACAACAGATAAAAGATCTAGTCTTGTATCAGTTAAAACATGTTAAGTATCATACAGCATACTTGCTTGATTCATGTGTCGTAAATACCCTGCTCATTGCGTGCATGCTTGTATTCTACAAAATAAAGGCCATGAATTTTGCATTAACAACATCTCCCAAACCAGTGACCTCAAAGAAAAACAAATAAAGTAGGCACATGACAACACCACCAGTCCAGGATCTGTTCCCCACACCAATCCTTTGTTTGACATATATTGCTATTCTGCTAAAACCCTGAAACCCCCTTCCTGAAACTACTGTCACTGTGTTTTCATGACATTCTACTGCAACAGTTCAGGAAAGTGTCCCATCATCCCTATCAGCATCAGTTAGGAATGGATAATAAATATTGTTGACCTCAAGTCCTGTGAATGGTTTAAATAGGAAAAGAAAAGCTGGTTCTACATTAGTAAATATTATCCAGGGTAATAGCCATCACATTCAATAATGAGATATAGTTTAGTGATTAGAATCAAATAGACCTCTTCTCCACATTATCCAATAATCATTACTTGAGTTTACAGGTTGCAAAAGCTCAATGAAAATTGAATCATCTTGTTAAATATCCTGCCTTTAATTACTGTGTTTGCTCACATTTGAAGAATCTCCATTTAAAAGAGGTAATAGAGGGCACCTATAGAACGATATCTCTATCATCAGGAGTGGTATGAAGAAAATTAAAATTAAAATTAGAAGATTTCTATTTTGTTTGGTCAAATGTATGTTCATCTTCTCATATAGCATTTTTCCTGCAATGTGTATTTTATTCGTAAAGTTTGTAAAAGCACATGGCTAAAGTATTAATACAAGAATACTATTTAAATGGAGAAAAACTGCAGAAAGCTGCAAAATAATGAGTCTTGGGGTACTTGTACACAAAACACAGAAAGCTAGCACACCGGTGCAGCAGGTAATCAGGAAGGTTCATGGAATTTTGGCCCTTATTTCAAGGGGTTTGGTTATAAGAGTAGGGAAGTCTTACTGCAACTGTACAATGTCCAGATGAGACCACATCTGGAGTACTGTGAGCAGTTTTGGTCCCCTTATTTGAGGAAAGATATTGTTTCTTTGGAGGCAGTTCAGAGAATTTTCACCAGG